CCACAGTCCGCACAATGCCGATGGTGTGCTTGATTTGCGCGCACGCCCGTGCCTATACCACGTCGCGCGCGATGATAGCGGCTCGAGGGAAAGGGAGAACGACGACGGCGGCCACAACTACGGTCAGGATCCCTGGCTCGGCGTGTCGCTCCGCCGGCCCGGGCCCACCGCGCTGCGGCCCGACACGCTGCCCGCGCCCCAGGCCCCGGGCGTCAGCCTCCCGCGCCGCTCCCGGCCCCCGGCCCCAGCGGAGCGGAGCGGCACGCCGTGCGTTTTGGCACGGCGCGGCGCGCCGCCGGGGCCGCCGACGCGACGCGCGAAGCGGGAGTTCCAGACCGCAGGGCCGCTGCGACCACGGCCGCGGCAGCGGCGGCGGCGGCGGCGGCCGCGGCGGCGGCGGCGGCGGCGGCGAGGCGAGGCGCGGAGCCTCTCTTGCTTTGGGGGCGCTGCCGCCGCGCGCGCGCGCGCCGAGGTCGTGCCCGCGGGCTGAGCCGGCCCGCGTGGGTGAGCGGCGGGCCGCGCGCGGGAGGCGGCGGTCGAGCCGTGGCGAGGCGTCCTGGCTTGCCCAGAGGCCCGCCAGGGAGTGTTCCAAGAGCCTCTCTTGTGGTTTGCGCGACGGGTGAGGGAGCGTGTCTGGGTGGCGCCGCCCTGTCTTCGTCGTGCGTCGGCCGCCGTCGAACCGTGGGGAAGCGTCCTGGCTGGCCGAGTGGCCCACCAGGGAAGGTTCTAAGAGCCTCCTGTGGTCTACGCGACAGGTTTGACAGCGTTTCTGGGTGGCCGCGTCCTGTTTTCGTCATGCGCCGGCCTTGTGTTCCAAGGGCACGGCTTCTGCCTTCGGGCATGCTTGTGTTTCAAGGACATGTGAACTTGAGAACGGTAGGCCTTTGAGCACTGCTTGGCTTCTGCCTTCGGGTAGGCCTTTGAGAACTGCTTGGACGGCGGGTCTCCGCTGCATTCGGGAGAGAGCTTGGGGCCCCCAGAGGCGGCAGGCGGCAGGCGGGGCGCTCCAGAAGAAGGGGCATCTTCGGAGAAGAGCCCAGGGCCTCCCAGGCGCGGTCGGCGGCCGGTGGGGGGGCGCTCTGGGAGAGACTTGGCGGCGCGCGCAAGGGGGTGGAGGGAGGGGTGAGGGCTCCTTAGAAGGAGGCTGCTTCTTAGAATGCGCCAGCCTTACATCTATAGATGAGGCCCGCGCCCTCTGAGGAGCAGGGGAGCTTCTGCGAAGCCCTCCCCCCCTCCCCCCCGCCCCCCTTCTGCGCGTGGCCGAGAGACCTCGCCCTCCGTGGCCCTCGCTCGGGCGTGTGCGTTGTTGTCTCGGCGAGGGCCATCGATCACCACCTACCAAACCACCCCAACCCAACCCGAAGGCCTCAATTTGCCATTCATTTCCAGGGGGGGGGGGGCGGGGAACGTTGAAAAAAACCCTCCTCGCTTCCCTCCTGGGGTTCGCCACCGATCCTGGGCGTCGGCCAGGCGGCCCCAAAACACCAGCTGGTGGCGGCCGATGGTTTTGCTCTCGGCCCGCGCGCGCGAGCTCGGGGGCCTGGCCGGTGTGGGCCCCCCTCCGCGCGTGTCGGCCGCGGCCTCCGCGCGAGCACCTTTCGCGTGCGCGGCGCGGGAGGTTATCGGATCCATCGTTTTTTGCAGATCGGCGCGGGACCTCGCACCCCCCAAGAGCAAAAAAATAGCTTGGCGAAAGACCCAACCACACGCAGTTGTGACTACCGCAATTGCGAATAATATCTTCGCCCGCGCTCCCGATGTGGCCACAACTTCCCGCCGGAGCCCGACATGCTCAGGGACACGTTCGTGGCCGTCTTCGCGGGCGCCGACGACGACGAGGACGGCGCCCCCCTGACCGAGGAGCAGAAGCAGGAGAGGGCTCTAAGAGCCATAAGGGAGGCTGCCACTGGGGCCTTCGGTGGAGCTCCTATGGGGCCACGATCCTCTTGAGGGGTGTGCCGAAATGGCCCGAGGCCGCCATGCGAACCCTGCCACTGGGGGCCTTCGGTGGAGCTCCTATGGGGCCACGATCCTCGTGAGGGGTGTGCCGAAATGGCCCGAGGCGCCATGCGAACCCTGCCACTGGCGCCTTCGGTGGAGCTCCGTATGGGGCCACGATCTTCGTGAGGGGTGTGCCGAAATGGCCCGAGGCCGCCAGGCGAACCCTGCCACTGGCACCTTCGGTGGAGGCCACAATCCTCGTGAGGGGTGTGCCGAAATGGCCCGAGGCCGCCATGCGAACGCTGCGAATTGGGCCTTCGGTGAAGCTCCCTATGGGGCCACGATCCTCGTGAGGGGTGTGCCAAAATGGCCCGAGGCCGCCATGCGAACGCAGCCACTGGAGCTTTCGGTGGAGCTCCCTATGGGGCCACGAAATGCTGTACTGGGTGTGCCGGAATGGCCCGGGGCCACCATGCGAACGCAGCCACTGGAGCCTTCGGTGGAGCTCCCTACGGGGCCACGATCCTCGTGAGGGGTGCGCCGAAATGGCCCGGGGCCACCATGCGAACGCAGCCACTGGAGCCTTCGGTGGAGCTCCCTATGGGGCCACGATCCTCGTGAGGGGTGTGCCGAAATGGCCCGAGGCCGCCATGCGAACGCTGCCACTGGCGCCTTCGGTGGAGCTCCCTATGGGGCCACGATCCTCGTGAGGGGTGTGCCGAAATGGCCCGAGGCCACCATGCGAACGCAGCCACTGGAGCCTTCCGTGGAGCTCCCTATGGGGCCACGATCCTCGTGAGGGGTGTGCCGAAATGGCCCGAGGCCGCCATGCGAACGCAGCCACTGGAGCCTTCGGTGGAGCTCCCTATGGGGCCACGATACGCCGTGCTGGGTGTGCCGAAATGGCCCGAGGCCGCCATGCGAACGCAGCCACTGGGGCCTTCGGTGGAGCTCCCTATGGGGCCACGATCCTCGTGAGGGGTGTACCGAAATGGCCCGAGGCCGCCATGCGAACGCAGCCACTGGGCCTTCGGTGGAGCTCCCTATGGGGCCACGATCCTCGTGAGGGGTGTGCCGAAATGGCCCGAGGCCGCCATGCGAACGCAGCCACTGGGGGCCTTCGGTGGAGCTCCCTATGGGGCCACGATCCTCGTGAGGGGTGTGCCGAAATGGCCCGAGGCCGCCATGCGAACGCAGCCACTGGGGGCCTTCGGTGGAGCTCCCTATGGGGCCACGATCCTCGAAAGGGGTGTGCCGAAATGGCCCGAGGCCGCCATGCGAACGCAGCCACTGGGGCCTTCGGTGGAGCTCCCTATGGGGCCACGAAGCGCTGTATTGGGTGGGTGAAACGCAAGGAAGAGGGGGAGGAGGGAGGAGGAGGGGGCAGAGGAGGAGAGGAGGGGAGACGCGGGCCACCGTCTCTTCAAAATGAGGACCCAACACCACAGGATGGTTGGGAAAAACAGCGCTTCCGATGGGAAAACGTACATTTGGGGAAATTCGCTTTTCAGTCTTAACAGCGGCCACGTCGGCACCAAAGGCTCCCAAAATCGGCCCCCGACGGTCCCAGAGGCCCCCAAGTGGGCCCCATGGAGTAGATCATGGCTATTGTCGGCGCCTGTTTCAAGCAGGTGGGGTCTCCCCCACATGCGGCGCGCTGCTGCAAGCAGTCGCATCGAAAGCAGAGGTCCGGAGCCAGACCCCCCCCCCTTCCGCCTAACGTCGAAGCCCAAAATCACAGATTTCGCACCACGCAGCGTACACCGCATGGCGTGAATCACGTAGATTGTACAACGGAACTTGCACCGCGTAGTTTGCAACCATACGTGGTGCGCTTCCTCGATTGCACCACATCCTTTGCACCGCGTAGCTTGTCCCACGCAAACTCTCCTTTCAAAAGAAATCAAGAGAAGATAGACTCCACCACTCTCCCCCTCGGGGTTCGCCGCTCCCTTTTTTTAGCATTGCACCTTACTGTGATGATTTAATCGTTTCGCTCACTCCGCCCAATTTCGCACCACGGTGGCTGCATGTTGGCGTGCTCGTACCTATGGGGAACGGTGGGGCAGGCAGGACTGTCCTCCAGGAGATCTTTGGAGATGTGGCTCCCACCCTCTCAAAACAACGATCGACTGCCCCAGATGGCGCCAACATGGTTCAAGAGTGCTTCAGCAGAGTTTCGAGACGCACTTGGGTTGTGGGTCAGAGTCCGCATGGACGTTTCTTGGGGTCTCTTCGGAGGATTCCGGGGAGCCTGTGGGGAGCAGTTTTGAAGCCTCCATGGAGCTTCTTAGAGGTTTCTTGGAGGCCTCTTGGGTTTCCTGGGGGCGTGCTGGGGGCTCAAGAGTTTCTCGTGGAGCCTCTGGGGGCCTCTTGGGGGGCTCTTGGGGGCCTCTGGGGGCTTCCTGGCGCCTCTTGGGTTCCCCCTCTGGGCCCCCTCTCGGGGCCATCCTTGGGCTGTCTTGGAGGCCTATTGAGCCGTCGTAGGTCTTCGGGTCATATTGGGCCATTGGGGGGCCCTCTTGGAGGCGTGTCCTGCCTTTTGGAGCGATCTTTGGGCCTCTTGGGCCGTCCAGGGTGGTCGGCACCTCGAACAGGCGGTACCGCCAAAATTTTTCGAAAGCTCAAGCAAACGCAAGGCATTGTATTTTGTGCTTGCGGGGCCTCTCGAAGTCCTCTTGGGACCCTCCTGGAGCGTCCTGGGCGCTTCTAGGGCCGTCTCAGGACCAACATGGGCCATCTTGGAACGCGCTTGGCCCGAGGCCGTGGGACGTGCCACCCTCTTGGCGCCTCACTGGGGGTGCTCGGGACGGCCCCGAGGCCCGTGCAGGAGTTCATCTCTGACCAGGCCTGGCCGGGACCTTTGTCGGGACCTGGCCAGGGCACTCTTCGCCAAGGGACTCCCAGGGGCCGCCACGCGCCCGCGCGAACTATCAACAGTATTAGGTTTTTCTGGAGATTTCAGCACGCCTCTGGCCCGCTGGTCTGGCGAGGTTTTCATCGTTCAGCTTCCATATGATATGATGCCATCCCAGCCAGGCTGGACATCGCCCCCACCGTCGTTCCTGTCACATAACAGTATGCGGTGCTCGCCCTCCCTTTTGTCTCAAAAGATGTTGTTTCAATGACCCATAGCAGGAATTGCACGAAGTCCGCACGCGCGCACATGGCGAAATCATACTAAACGCACTCGTTGTTTTGCAGGCACTCTAGCAGACAAACATCAACACTTTTAGGTTTGTTGTCCCACATCTTACTGATGTTCTGTTCGCGCGCATTTCCTGCAATCGCAGGAACACGATCTGACTTCAGCAATCCCGTACAGAACCCGCATTCCCATCTCACCACGCGGTGCACCTGCGTCGATCTAGCATGCGCCCAGTGCACGATTCTGTCTCGCACAAGGCCGCCCGGGCCACATGCGCGCGCCGTCGCGCGCGCGTGTCGGAATCCCCCCCCGAAGCCACAGGTTTCCAAAGCATCTCAACATATAGCGTTTCAGAAACATGGGAACCAATATGTTTCGTCAAACTGTGCTTGGCGTCTTGCATTCCTGCGGGCGCATTTCCTCTCATTCAGCCGCATCAGCGCCGTCGCATCACCGCCGTTATCGTCATCGCCAATCGCCGCCCTGGCCGCCATCATCAGTTAACCACCTTCATCGCCGACACGTGGACATCATTATCGTCATCGTCGTCACCAGCGGCATCGTCATTGGCCTTGCCGTCGTCATCGTCGTCATCGCCACCACCATCGCTCCTGTCATCAGCGTAATTGCCATTGTCGACGCCATGGTTATATCGGGCTCGCCGGAGTCCCCGACCCGCATTGAAGTGCCCGCGCGCCAGCGCGGCCTCTCTGAAGCGCTGGGAAGTTCCCATCGGCAAAGTGCCATCGCGGCCGCATCGGCTGTGCCAAACCAGTTGGCATCCCTGGGCGCGAGTTTGCGCGCTCCAGCGTGGCCGAAGAGATGCGCCAGCCAGTGCGAGTCAGATTCGCAGCAGTGGCCGCATGGGTTCTGCAAAACCAGAGGGGGGTGGGAGGGTGGGATGTTTGCCCGAGCAGTGGAATCGACAACTTCAGGTCGAGCAACAATTACATCGCTTGCACCACCTAGCTTGCACCACGTAGTTTACACATCCAAAGCACAACAACTTACACCGTACACCTTAGGCGATGCTTAAGAAAACTTAAGTTTTCGGCCAGAATCTCGATTATTCTTAACGTTTCAATGCAAATCTTAAGATTTGAATGGAAATGTTGGGTTTTGTATTCAAGTTCTGAGAGTCTGAATTTCTTAACCCATGATTTCTTAAGCATTTCGCAGGGTGTATGAAGAAATTGGCCGGGTGTGTCGAGGAACCTCTGCGGTGCCGCTCGTGGCCGCCTCGTGGCCGCCCCGCTCGATGGGTGTGTCCAGCGGGGGCTCGCCACGCTGCTGCCCGTGGCCGCGTCGTGGCCGCGTCGTGCGCCCGTGGCCGCTTCGTGGCCTCCTCGTGCGTCGGGTGGGTCTGGCGAGGTCTCGCCACGCTGCTCCCCGTGGCCGCCTCGTCCTTGCACCTCGTATCCCGCACGGCACATCGAGGGTTCGCCACGTCGCTGCCCGTGGCCGCTTCGTGGCTCGCGCAACACTGCTTGCACCGCACAGCTTGTACACGCATGCCTTACACTACATGGCCCACGCCACATACCCAATCGACCGCTCACACCACATAGCTTACACGTCGCAGCCGTCACCACATAGCTTACACTCCACAGCTGTCACCTCCACTCCAACAACGCACAGCTTGGAGCCCACGCTGGTCAGCATTGTTTGTCCATCAGTCACGATGCATGGCTGAATTCTCCAAAAGGTCATGGCCTCCCAAACCTGGCCTCAGCTAGGCCCAGACGACTGTCCGCAGTGGTCGCTCATTCGTTCGTTGTTCGAGGTGGAGGTTGCACGCTTGCCGGGCCGCCTACGCACTGCGGCGTGCACCGCTCCGTCGCCCGGCTCGCGTGGAGCCGAGCCCGGTCCGATCCGACCCGAGAGTGCCTCCAGCTCGCGGGGGCGTCCAGGAGGAGGGGGGGAGGGCCAGTGGCGTGTGGAGATGGTCGTGGCCAGGGCCATGGCGTCTCCCCGATCTCCTGGCTCCCTCCTCTTCTCTGGGGTTCCTTGCCTGAACCCCCCTCGTCCGCTCAGAAGCCTCGGCCCATGGTGCGCTGACCTCTCCATCCTGCCCAGCACTCCGACCTCGAGATTGCTTCACGACATCGACCCCCAGAGGTCTGGACCCCTTCCCCCGGACCAGTCGCCCGATGCGGGCCCCCGGAGGGCGGAAATGAATCTAAAACATTCCGCCGTGATTTTTTTTCGCAGCGAGAGGAGGAGGAGGAGGAGGAGGAGGAGGAGGAGGAGGAGGAGGGGAGGAGGGAGGAGGAGGAGGAGGAGGAGGAGGAGGAGGAGGAGGAGGAGAGGAGGAGGAGGAGGAGGAGGAGGAGGAGAGAGGAGGAGGGGGAGGAGGAGGGGTGGGCCCTCGACGGCGCACCCGAAGCGCGCTTGGGCAGGGCGCTGGCCAATCGGACGCGGAGCGCGGACGCCGTGCGCGACACGTGTCCAACCGTGCGGAGCACCGGCTGCAGTCGCAGGTGCCGCGCAAGACTGCGGCGAGTGCGGCCGCCAGCGAGCCTTTGGTGCTGCCGGCCTCTCGCCCGCTCTCCTGCGGCATGTCTTCTCCTCCTCCTCCTCCTCCTCCTCCTCCTCCTCCTCCTCCTCCTCCTCCTCCTCCTCCCTCTCGCCCTCCGAGCGGGGGACGCTGACCCTGCCATCCAGATGCCCACGGCTTGCGTCGACCAGTGGCCGACGACGTGGAGGGATTTTCCAGAGCTCGGGCCTGGAGTGCGACAGGCCTGGCGTCAGGTTGTGCAGCACCTGCGCACCATCCCCGAGGCCCAGCGCTCACGGCACGTTCGCGGGCCTCTCTCAGCGGTGGTGCTGCGCCTCTCGCAGGCGGGCTGGGGCGTTGACGAGCCCACGGCATGGACAGTGCCGCCGCCGCATGAGGCAGCAGGGGGCGACTGGAGATTCGACGATGCCAGGTACACGCGTGACAACGCTATTGACTCCCATGCTGCCTATTTGGAAGACTTTCGCTTTTCGCTGAGACGGGAGTTGTGGAATCAAGCTAGTCGCCATGTCTGCGGGGCCCGCCTTGAAGGAGGTGTGTACTGTGCTTCATATCGTATACTTCTTCAGCAGCTCGCTGCAGTGCCAGGCTATGGGCACCGCTTGTATGAGACCATTCTGACGTGCGCGATCGGAGGCACTTGGCCCATGCAGAGACGCAAGGATGAGATCGAGAGGTTCGACGGCAATGTGTTGTGCCCGCGATGTGGGAAGAAGCCCGAAACAGCCAAGCACCGCATCTGGCCCTGCGAGCGCAACCAGGGCAAGACGGCTTTCGACGATTCGCAGGACCTTCTGCCGCAAGCTTTGGCGCAGATGAACATGGACGAAGGCTTCTGGCTGAGGGGCATGATGCCCGCTGCGTGGACGGCCGTCCCCCCGCCTGCCTGAGTCGAATGCTGGACTGTGGAGGGATTCGATGAAGTCTCTCCAGGCTGCTCAGGGGAAGGCACGGCAGAGTGCCCCCTCATCATCAGTGGCGATGAGGAGCTGATAGCAGCAGCAATCTCTTTCGACGTGTTGGAGTTGCTGTGGCCCTTTTCGTCTCCTTAGAGCCTGAGGTCGAGCTTGTCAGCACTGTCAGAGGGCCGCTGTGTGGCCCCGCCAAGCTGTAGCGAGGGGCGAGCTCCGTGCGCTAGTGCTCGCAGTTTGGCTTTCGCGAGGTTTCATTTTATGAGTATCCGATTGCGAACCAGTCGTAAAAGGGGTGGTTTGCTCGCAAGTATGAGACGCCGCAGGGAGAAGACAGGGATTTGTGGGCGCAGTTCGGCCAGCTCTTAAGGCAGAGAGCGGGTGGAGCTGCGTCGGTGACAGTTTCTCCACCAACTCACACCTCACGGCCCAGGGCATTGTTCGTGAGGTGGCGCCCAGACGGTTGGTGACCAGCAGCGCAGTTGTAGACGAGGTTGCAGGCCTTGCAGCGCGTGAGGCACGGCTCCCACAGAAGGTTCGGACCACTGTTCTTTTGCAAGGGCAGCGAGCACGGCCAGTGCGCATGCGGATTTTGCGTACCACACTCGACGCTTGCGATGCCGAGCAGGAAAACAGAGTTGAGCCTCGTGGAAAAAAGTCCGTCCCCGCCCCGCCTGCCCCCCCCCCCCCCTCTGCTGCGTCTCTCTCCCTCTTCTCTTCGAGCCATTGCCTTGATGAGGCAGGGCGAAGGTGCACGCGCTGTGGAGGCTCAGCCACGAGGGCGAGAGCCACGGCATGGCGTCAGTCATCTTGTTCGAACCCTTGAATTATAACGGAGTTATTTTCTACAACCCCCCAGGGTCAGTTGCACATAGCGGGGGGGGTTCGTCGACTCCTCTCATCGTATGCAGTGGCATGATGATTTGAATTTGTGGTATGGTGGTTGGTGTGGGTGCTACGGGCATCAGTTGCTGGATGGGCTCGACCGTCCTTGTCAGCGCCCCACCCCCAACAGGCTTGAGCATCTCTCCAGAATCTCTCGGGGTCGGTCTCTGGCTACAGGTTCTGAGCAAGACGGAGAAGGCCACCCAACCCAAAGGGGCGTCATGAGGGTTGGCCCTTTGTCGCATTGCATGTTGCATGTCTGTCGTCAGCACTGTCGATTGTCATTGCACCTCTGACTTTGTCATATATCCAGTTCCAGTTCCAGCTCCTCCTCCTCTTCCTCCTCCTCCTCCTGCACCTGCACCTTCTCCACCTCCTCCTCCTCCTCGTGCACCTGCACCTCCTCCTTCTCCTCCTGCACCTCCTCCTTCTCCTCCTGCACCTCCTCCTCCTTCTCCTCCTCCCTCGGGGCCTTCCTCCATTCCGTCATCATCCCCGTCGCTCGTCTCCTCATGCTCACCCGCTGTGTAGCGTCTCGTCCTCCTCCCCTCCGCCCTCTGCCTTGCTTGTTTACGCTGCCCCATCTCCACCTCATAGTCGTGGTCCCTTTTGAATGCCGAGCTCACCCTCTGCTTCCGGGACGGATTCCCGTAGGCGCCGGTGATCGAGCAATCTCCCCCGCATAGCATGTGGACGGAGTCCATCGTGCGGAATTGGCGCGCGTTGCAGTGCATGACCTTCCTCGTTTTTTGCTGCATCCATTCGCTCGCTCATCCTTCGCATGTCCCTCGCCCTTATATTCCTCGTCCCACCGTTGGCCGTCGTCGTCGTTGTCGTCGTCCTCTTCCTTCTCCTCCTACTCCTCATCCCTCTCCTCCTCCTTCTCCTCCTCTTCCGCATCGCGCTCGTCCCCGTCTTCCTCCCAGCCCTCCTCTCGTCCTCTGCCTCCACCTCCGCTCCTACCCCTGGCTCTTCCTCTTTGCCGTCTTCCTCCTTCTGTCCCTCACTCCTCACCCTCCCTCCTTCCTCTTCACTCCTTCTCTACTCTCCTACTGCTCCTCCTTTTCCGTTCTCCTCCATCCTCCCTCCTTGCCCTTCTCCTGCTCCTCTGGCGCCTCCTTCGCCACTGCGTCCAAAACCTCACCATTGACCCATCCCCGAGTCCACTTTGGCCAGTTGCTCGAGCTACGCCCAGGCTCGACCACGATTACGCTCCAGGAAGCCCAGAGAGGTCGAACCAGTCAAACATATCCGCTGGAGGTCGGACCCCCTGCTACACCCCCTTGTACTTGAGACGGAACGGGTCCTAACGGTCGAGCCTCCTCTGTACCCCTTTATCTCCCCTCCTCTGTCGTCCTCTCGCTCTCCTCGTCCCTCCTCTCGCTTCCCTTGGCCTCCTCGTGCCGCTGTCCTCGTCGCTCCTCTCGCCCTCCTGCTGCCGCCCATCCTCCTCGTCCCCCCCGTCCGCTCCGCTCGGGCCCCCTCCCCGCGTCCTCGCCTCGCTCGCTTCGCCCTTTCTCGCCTCGACGCAGGGCGCCCGTGCCCGCCTCGCCGTTCCAGGAGGGCCCCGATGGCGGGCGCCCCGATCAGCTCGAGCACGAAATCGGGCCCTTCCCTCCTCTGCAGGAGGAATTTCAAAAGTAGTGAAAAATAGTACGGGGATGATTTTTCTAAGTATTCTCTTGGCTATTTTGGAGCATGTTGGGGGTATCTTGAATTTGTCATCCAAGATCCGCCTGTAGGGGGACATACCCGACCTACCTCCAGCACTCGGGAGAGGGGAGGGTCGGAGCTCCGGGCCACAGCTGCTTGGAGAGAGCCTTTCATCAGCCCCTGTAGGCCGTCAGAGGAGCTCCCGACCACACCCAAGCTGTCGACCGCAGGTTTCGCACGGATCTCGCGCCGCGTGTTCTCTCGCCGTCGGCTTCCATGCCACGGGAGGCGGAGGAGGCGGAGGAGGAGGAGGAGGCGGAGGAGGAGGAGGAGGAGGAGGCGGCGGCGGCGGAGGAGGCGGAGGAGGAGAGGCCCGTCGGCGGAGCTCCGCCGCCCGTCGCTGCCCGTGCTCTGGCGCGCGCAGGAGCCAGGCGGCCAGGTCTGAGCGCCCCCTCTCTCTCTCTTTTTTTTTTTTTTTTCTCTCTCTCTCTCTCTCTATATATATATGGGTATATATAGATGTGTGTGTATGTGTGTGCTTCTCTCTGTTTCGCTGTTTCTCTGTGCTTCTTGTTTGTGCTTTCTCTCTCTTTCTGCCTCCCTCGTTCCCTCCAGATCCCCCTTGCTGGCTGCGCCGCCGGGCGCGGCTGGCTCGGCCAAGGGGGGCCCCTGCCCTGGGGCAGGGGCGCTGGCGCCCGGCTCGCTCCGCACGCCTGGCGCGAGGGAGGCCTTTGCTCCCCGCCTTTGCGGGGGGTCTGCGCGCGCGTGTTTTTCGCAAGATGCTCCTCTTCTCTGCCTAATTCAAGCTTCGCGCGGCCCGCTTAGCTTCGACCGGAAGAGGTGCGCTCTCGACCCGCGGATAAAAAAAAATGCGTTTTCGCAAGATCCTGCGCAGCGGACACAGGCGCCGCCGCTCTTCAACGTCCCGCGCTCCGGCCCGGCACGCTGAGGCTGTGGAGCGGCGTCTGGGCCGCGGCGGGGGCCGCCCCTCCAGAGGGCTCGTTCCCGCTTGCGGGGGGACGGCGGCGTGCCAGCGGAAGGCCGCGGGCTGCCCGCCGCGCCTGCACCGCTCGTCGCGGCCGTCATTTTTGCGGGTCCAGGTCCGTCGGTTTCGGTCCCAGGCCGTTTTCACGAAGGGGAGGTTTACTAAAGGGAGGTTTGTCCACCGCCGAGTTACACTCGGCTCGCTGGCGGGTCACGCCTAGCCGGCCGTATGCCACGATATGTACCTTGGGTAGCAGGCTTTCCGTCAGGGCCACCCCGTTCGGTGTCGGTGCCCTCCAGCTTTGACAGGTGCGGACGGGCGGCGCTTGCTCCTGCTGCCCGCCGACGGACTTCGGCCCGCCCATCCCGGTGCGTGTTTTGTTCGTTTGCTCTGTTACATGTAATCTATTTGTACGATTGCCTCTCTCTCATATCAATGTGTGTTGTTTCTCTCTCTCTCTCTCTCTTTTCTCTCTCTCTCTCTCTCTTTCGTTTTGATTTGTTTATATACCTATATCTATCATTGGCTGCCTTATCTCTCTCTATATGTATATATATATATATATCACTTTGTTATGTTTGTTGTTGTTTCGTGTTCTCTCTCTCTCTGCATCTCTCCTCCATATACCTATACACATCTATGTACCCATGTGGTCAGGAAGGCTGACAGAGCGCGCTGCGTCACCGGCTATGGCCCGCCACGCCTCGGCGGCGACACGCCGGGCACGTCCCGGCGCCCGACCGTCGACGTCTCGAGTTTTTGCCCCCCGCCCGCCCCGCGAAGCAGAGCGACACGCCCGCAGGGCATTGCGTGTCGCCGGGGCTGCCGCCGCTTTATCAAGGGCGCCCTCGAGGGCGCGAAGTTATTCGCGCTTCGCGCTTCGCGGTTCGGCTCCGATTCCTCATCCTACTCTTCTCCCCTGGGAGGCGGCGCGAGAGCGCGAAGTTATTCGCACTTCGCGCTTCGCGCAGCGCGAAGCGCGAAGCTGGGAGCCCTTGTTTATGCGGATCGAAAGTTTCAGACCAGATTCGCATACACGCACATGCGCGTTCCAGAAAGGGCTTGGCCTTGGAGGACCCCAGGGGTTCACATCTCTTCCCAGGCAAGAGATGCGGTGGAACGCCAGCAGAATGGCGGCGGAAGCAAAGCGGGTGCGATGCCGCAGGCGGAACATTGGCGGAACATTGGCGGAAGCTGGCGAAAGCAGAACATTTTACCCAACGAAAGCCAGGAATCGGCAGTAAATACAGCTTGAGCCGATTATGAACATAGTTTGGTTGTCTTGCTCTTGTTTCTGTCCCTCTCTTTCGCTCGATATATGTATAGATATGCACATATGTATATATGTGTATAATATGCACACATATATATATATATACATATATATATATATATATTCATATATGCATGTGTGACTGTGTATATATATGTGTGTATGTATATATGTATGTATACATGTAGACCCTCGGTGTGTAAACATATAGATGTTCTATACCAGACTGCAGTGGCGCTTCGCACCATGCACCTTGATCCTTGAAGTTTGGCATGCAGGGCACGAGGGTCAAACAAACAGGGCCGTGTTGCCTTTTTCCGACGTCGCCGTTATACTAATGCTATTCGTTATTTGTTCCTCATGTGTTTTTGTTCCTCCTCCTCATTCCTCCTCATTCTCGCCCTACCCCGCGAATTCTTCCCAATCCTCCTCAGCTCTTGTTGCAGAGGCTTCTCCTTGGAGAGCCTCTTGGAGGCCTCACGGAAGTTTTTAAAATGGCTTTTGGGGGCCTTCTGGAGGCCTCCTGGGCGCCCGAGTAGCTTTTCGAGCCATCTTGATACCTCCACAGGCCTTCGTGGGTTGCTCTTGGGGGCGTCCTGAGCTGTCTTGGACCAATATTTGCCGCCCCGTGGACTGTGTGGGGACCGCCGCCAGGATGCTCGCAATGATGGAGATGGTCTTTCTGATTTTTCAGTAATTGCTGGGATCCCGGGTCCGCAACCGATGTTCCAGGAAATCGGTTGCCAACCCGAGATTCCGGGCAGGGTGCGGCACTTTGTGGGGAAGCGCCGTCCAAGGAGCTGGTCGAGCCATCTTGATGCCTTTGTCGGGCCGTCGCGGGGCGCTCTCTGTGGCTCTCCTTGGCCGCCCTGGAGCAGTCTTTGGCGCCCCGCGGGCCGTCTGGGGCCTCCTCCCGGCCTCGTTCTGAGGTTGCGCCCCCTTCTCCTTCCCCCTCTCTGGTTGATTCAAGCTTCGCGCGGCCCGCTTAGCTTCGACCAGAAGAGGTGCGCTCTCGACCCGCGAATCAAAACATATATATATATATATATATATAAAGAAAAAACAAGAAGAACAAAAAAAAAAAAAAAAAACAAAAAAAAAAAAAAAAAAAAACACGGCGGGCCGTCCAAGGGGCCCGCCGCCCCTCGGACGGCCAGGCCTCGACCTGGAGTGCTTGCGGGAGGGGGAGCTCTGGAGGAGCGCGGGGGGGGGCCGTCGTGCGAGCCTCTCGGGCCGTCACGGCGGCAGGCGTGCGGGCCCCTGCGGGGGGGCTTTCTTGGTGGCCACTTCGGCGCGTTCCGGGGGGCGAGTCTTGGGCCCGTCGGGCCACGAAGGGGGGGGGCCTCTCGAGGCCCCCCCTGGGGGTCCTTTTGGGGGGCTTTCCGGGCCGTCTTGGGGCTCTCTCTGGCCGTCCGAGGAGGAGGAGGAGGAGGAGGAGGAGGAGGAGGAGGAGGAGGAGGAGGAGGAGGAGGAGGAGGAGGACTGGGGCCCTCTTTGTGCCGTCTGGGGGGGGCGAGGACCTTCTGGAAGCTGTCTTGGGGCCATGTTGGGCCGGGCCTTTGGGGGGCTTCTTGCCCTTTTGGGCCGTCTTGGGGTGTCATTGAGGGCCTCGTTGGGCCATCTTGGAGCGATCTCGGGGGCCTATTGACGGCCTTAGACACTGCTGTGACGATCGAAGCGTATATG